GCTTCAGCTGGGTTAGGCGCTCTCCAGCCCGCGCCATATTTGCGAGAGTAATGACTGATGAATTTGTGAGTGTACGTCAGCCAATTTTGCAAATGACCGCCACCACAAAGGGCGTAAGCATGTGCACGAGTGCAAAGAATTTGAAAAATGCGATGGGGCGACCCCCCCATGTCCAAGTCCCATTCTTCACCACACAGACCTGCTGCCTCAGCCAAGACCTCCGTCAGATCCCTCTTTTTTGTGCCTGCTTTGCGGCTTTGGACATCCCAAAGCGCAGCTTCGGAAAGGATCCGGCGCCATGCGACCCAAGCCCAAGATTTCTGTTGACATTGGCTCTGGATAGTCTGCAGATAGGGCAAACAAGGGGTTGTCTCGGGAGTGAGCGCGGCTCCTGGGTAGTTGCTTTCAAACACTTTCAGCAAGGCTTCGCGATCCGCAGCACCAAATTTGGCTGGTAGACTCAAGGAGCCCAACAATGGCAAATGCTTGGCACTGGCAGGAGCCGGCAATTCTTCACCCGAACTCTTCTTCCAAAACGCGCGGAGGTCTCCACATGTGGGCGATGTCAACCATTCCGCATCGTCCAGGTCTTTGAACGAAACCAACTTCAGTTTGAAACGTGTAAGCCAATCTTCGAAGACGTTCGAGTCGACAAAGGCATGCGCAAATGAGGCTTTGCGTTTGAAACCCATTTTCAATATAGCCTCAATCACTTCCTCACATAAGCCCTCTTCTCCCATGGCTTTGCTCCACTCGCAAGCCATCACCGGCAAAGCAAAAACAAGTCAAGCTGTATATCAACTAAGCGCAGCAATAGCAACTTCTAGCTTTCTCAAGCGTAGAGATTTGTATGCAAACAAATGTTGACGCGAGCGCGCCGCACCGGCTACCGCAGCCAAAGGGTAAGGGTAACCCACTTAAAAAACAACCAGGCAAGGTTCACAGACCAAAGGCATGATAGAAACAAGGCGCACAGGCCCCTACCTGGAGTACCACACTCCAACAAGAGCACACAGCTCTGTTCGCAAACAAAAATTGCAAAGCCAGGAGCACCGCGCTCCAAGGAGCACACGGCCCCGTCACTCCAACAAGAGCACACAGCTCTGTTTGCAAACAAATTTGCAAAATAAGGAGCACCGCGCTCCCAGGAGCTCACGGCCCCTACCTGGAGTACCACACTCCAACCAGAGCAACCAGCTCTGTTTTCAAGGAGCACCGCGCTCCGACCAGAGCACACGGCTCTTCCCAACGCAGAGACGCTTGGGTCTCCAAATTGCCTTTTACATCAGAACCATGAGTACCAGTTCACAACCCAGCAGCACACGCCGCGTGAGAGCAAGGCAGAAAAATTTCTTGGCTTTCTGCGGGATTGGTATGCCAAACTTCCCATCGTGGAGGGCGCAATCGCTGCCGTGGGGCGCAGGCTCGCCCAAACTCATCCAGGCCAAGATTCACAGCTGCGTGGAAGTAGGAAGTAGCTATATTGACCACGAAAACACCGCTGGCCATGGTCAAGGCGGGTGGTTCAGCAGCCGCCGGAGCATCTACGTCCTCCAGATCAGATGCACAAAACTCTGAGGAGGAAGACGAGCTACAAGACGATGTATCTGTCTCGGTTCCAGAATCATTTGCATCAAGACCAGGTCCTGCTGCAGCCAAACCAAGGGGCGTCCACACTAATCGATGGAGGGGCCCAGAAAGAGCCGATTCCGGCACAGGCGGCAATGAACCGCGCGCTTGCGGCGTGAGGGGAACCCACCCGCCACGAACGGAGTCTAGTACCTTCAATTGAGCTCTCAAGGCTGGGAGGACATCGTCCCGGCTGTACTTGGTTGTCATCTTTGACCCGCTGTCGCCTCCACGATGGTGACCCCACAAGCGACGCTGAACATGGTCCACGTCAAGTTGAAGGGCCCAGGTTAAGCCTGTCGTTTTCAAGCTGTGCAGGGTATAGTTCCGCGCTTGCGCGGTCGAGAGGCCACAAACAGCTACCAGCAACTTGCGAAATTGCCCTAATGCATAAGCGAAGCTGGCACGGGCACCACTAGGCCCAGGAATCAAAAAATCACCATGTCCAAGATGGTCACATAGATGAGACACACCCTTGTCCCAACAATCATGGATCCCCAGAGTAAGCACTCCGAAGGGCATGCCATCCTTGGAAGTTTTGGTGCGATAACACCAGCCTCGCAAAATGCCACGCTCAATTTGACAAGAACCTAAAGCAAGTCTTTGAGCATCACTAAATCTCAACGCGCCCCAAATCATGAGCAGAAAGGCAACTAAAGCCAAAGTATCTTTGGTCACCGCGGAGTCCAGATCTTTATGGATTTTTGTTTCAAATGCAGAGACCACAGAAAGTGGAAGAGGCAGCGCCTCTTTACGTGGACTCAAACTCGCTTGCGACTCGCACCAGGCCACCACTACCGAATGCCCCAAGGTCGTCAACCAAGCGCCCCAACCCATCAACGCAGCCACAAATTTCAATGAAGCAATACCATTTTTTGCACCACGTGCAGTTTTACCATTGTACAGCAGAGCTTGTACGTATCCCACAAAGTCCATCAATGGTGGATTGTAAGCAGGCCACTCGTGATGGCAGGCAAAGTCAATCCACAAACGCCAACTTGGCAAGTGGCGACGCAGGGTGGAAGCCGCTTTCTTTGATAGCATACGCATCAAGCTAGGCTGCGCCAAGCCACCCAAATCCACAAAATTTGGCGCGTGTGGCAAGAATTCTTCAAGCAGTCCAGCCCACAAGCGTACCCACTTTTGCGATTCAATCTCATCTGAACGCGCAGCACTTGCACAACTGTCGCGAACATGCAGCGTCATAGCCCAACGTGATGCGCCAACGTATTCAATGGCTGGGGCTGCAGCAATCTCTGACGGAGCGAGCGCAGGACTGCGGGAGAACCCCCGCTGCCGCTTGGGACAAGGCAGTCCCGGCCGCAAGCTGCTCACGTCACGAGAAGCTGCACGCACCGGGCGCGAAGGCCGCGGTAGCGGCATCCCAGGTCAGCAAACCAAAAAAGAATTTCTGAACCCAACGGAAAAAAAGCGAAAATGCCAAACCAGGCACAAAACACTCAGGGCTTCTTGACACTTGACCCATCAAGCACACCAAGTCAACAACAGGGTCGACAGCCAGGGTGAATTAGAGAGAGTGGTATTCTTACGTGCAAGCCCATAAGAATCCTACACGTCAGTGATGCCTCCTGCAACAATGCCAGGGAGTCCACTATTGGACTCGAGGACGAAGTTTCAGAAGATTATTGGGAAGAGACTCATGCAACATGGGTTCGCCATCATCAACGACCAAGATACACATATTTTCACCCTGGTTTCTGCACTAACGGCCCAAGCCTCCATGATCTACAGAAGGTCCGAAGAACAGAACGCCTCGTTTCTGGATCTCAGGAGCCTTGCAGGACAGAAACGGATTCGTGGAATGACCCAAACAGTCTCCGCTCAGCAGAAGAGCCCTGGACAGGAAAAACAATTTTCAGAAGGTGACCAACAAGTCCGAGGCCATTCCAGCATCACAGATTCGAAGCACTGTGGAACAACAAGAGTGTTTGAGCAGTCAAGGTGATCAATTCATTGTATATTATGACAAAACATTGACTACATCTCAAGCTCCAACCTCCGTGACACTTGCTTCCTGGAAGAGCTACAGATTGAAGAGAAAGGTGGTCAGCACACTTGGTGCAGAGAGCCAAGCGCTAGTCAATGGAGTTGGATCCGTCAACTACCATCGACTTCTCCTGCTTGAAGTTTTGAGCGGATTTTTGACAGACCAACAGTGGGAAAACAAGCTGAGAGAACTACCTTTTATCTCAGTCACAGACAGCAAGTCCCTCTACGACTCCTTGAAAAAGGATCCTTGCCCCGCTTCACAGTTTAGCGACAAACGTGTCGCCATTGACATTTCTGTTTTGCGTGACGAGTTCAAGAATCAAGGAGGAATCATTCGATGGATAGATACTCGAGCGATGATAGCTGATTCCCTCACCAAGGAATGTGTTCCAGCCTATCTTCGCTACATAATGCAGAAAGGAGAGTGGGCACTTTTTGAAGAAGGAGTATCGCTCCAACGAAAGGCTTTGGAGCGACAAATCTGGTCCAAAAAGAAAGTTTTACCGGTGTGTGAATGAGATCATCGGTTGGACCAGAGTGTGTACCATCCGCCACAAACGTGGCTCAAGATTCATTCAGGGCAGTCGAAAATGAGCCGCCATGGACCGATCATTCGTTGAGCCCGCTATCACTCTTACAATATAGCTGTATTGCTTGCAACTTGTAAATGTCCTCAAATTTCGCCTTATCAATGGAGACGACACATAAGGACTGAACACATAAACACAACAAGGCGGGCAGATTACCCTTTAGCATTATCTAATGTTCAGGCGCTAAAATGCTATCTGCTTCACAATATGCCTTGCTAGCCCCAAAAAAGGTAGGTCTTGGGGGGTAGCATAATATATATTATATGGAACAATGGACTTTCTTGAGTTCCTAAATTTCAGCAAGAGGCATGGCTGAAACCCGAGTGGAATAAGACACCTTTCAGAGGGACACAGCACTTGGTTTCCACCTTGTGACAGTCACGCAGAAAGCAGCACACGGACACGTATTATTTTGCATGACCCCACGATCTGAAGTCCACACCAGATTTACAACCTGCCCAAATCTACACATGTTCCTAGAAAGGAGCTGCAAACTGTGACTCAGAAAGGTGACAACAAGAGCACCAAGGTGGCCTCCACTTCAAAAATGAGCAAAGGACCTTACGGAGCTTAAAGCATGCTTTTCTGAAAGGTAACCGGCAAAAATCCATCTGAAGCTTCTGAAGAGCAAACGTCTTATGCATCACTTTCCATGTGAACATATGTCTGTTCAACTGTAACCCTCAATGAACGACAATCATCGGCACAGCCCACTAGGTTTCTCGTAACAAACCATCAATCCTCCCTCTTCACATCACTTTGAAAAGCGTCGTTGTCTCCCTCGCTGGCCAACTTCTGGTAGGCTGGCAGCTCGTGCCACCACCTGGGCGTGTTGAACTACCGCACGAGGCCGATGAGGCCAAACCTACTGTGGGACCTGTTCAAGATCCGAAGAATGCAGGAGGTCAGGGCCATGAGGTGACACACTGCAGTCCCAAAGAAAACATCTTGGCATTACCTCTAGCCTCTAGTCCTGATGTAGTACCATACTGGTGGATAAGATTCGGGCAAATAGGTTACCAGTGCTTCCCAAGACTATAGAACCAAAACTCAATTCTTGCCTTCGCATGAGCCGGCTGGAAAACGAACCACTGAAAAGCACCGCTCCATCCTATTTTTGGCCCAGCTCCACCTCAAAGTCTCTCAACTGCTCTTGAAACCCGCTGTTCGGGTATACACATGCACGTTTCTCCTTCACCAGCTGCCAAGCCTCTTCGAAGGATACCTGGAAGGACACAAGCTCACAAGAGTCCGCCTCATCCCCTAAGTATCTCTTAAAGAAAAGAGCAGCTGGAAACTGCTGGCAGTTGTCACAAATGTCTAGGATGAAACATCAGAGCAAACCTCCTGTCGTACATTCTATCTAACTGGGTGGCCATGCAACCACAACATTCACAATGGGCATCCCAAAACGAAAATAATCATCCTATATATATATATATTAATTCCAATGCAAACATGTGATCCTGAAATACAGGTCACCTGCAGCGTTTTCATGACATAGGCGATCACCAAAGTGCTGCTACGGGAAATGCCAGAGATGCAGTGCACGAGTACGTTCCTTAGGCAGTGCTGACACTTTGACCATCCTCCATAAGCCAACCACAGTTTGCAAACTTAAACTTGTAAGCTTGGTTTTGCACTGAGCTTTTTGTGTTCAGCTGGAGAGCCGGGGTCTCCCCTACAATGTCTGACACAGTTTCGTTGACGAGCTCTTCTGGATGAAGTCCATGGCTGTCGCAAAGTGCGGCTTCAGTGCTTCCAGAGGGGAGTCATCAATGGAAATAGTCAAGTACCTGATCTCCAACAGCCCAATGCCATGCTGTATGCTATTGGTGGTACCAAATTTACACAGCAAACCACAACAAACGAAATCCAAAGTGGTTGGTGCAGGGAGTTCCTGGAGTGCAACACAAGTACATATAATTACCGTCCCTTCATGTTCCGAACCGTTTATCTTGCATTGGCCTCCGTCACACCCACAAAAACATATTGTGCTTATCTGTGCTGGGCGTGCTCCAAGTCCTCAGGAAAGTGTGCCTCGCAATACGCAGCCACGATGAGAACGCGATCCACCTTGTGCTCGCGGAGCCAGTCGAGGTCAATAGCACTGCTCTCACCACCTGGCCGTTGGGTGAACACTAAACTTATCAATTAAAAGATTTCAAAGTAAAAAGTCAGCGGAGATCCCTTTGTACGGAACCTTTGGTGTTTGCCATCCCATGAATCCGAATCAATGGGCTTTGCATCAACTTCCGACCTAGGTAGATGTTGTCCACGATGTGATCGGGAGCTTCAAAGACGGCAGCTTTTCGCACAGTGCTTTTCTCTTCCTCGTATTGCATCTCGAAGCCTCTGTGAGGGCGAGTCAAAAACAATGGGGCGTGACGCCCCGACAAATAACAGAGCACTCTCTACGGGTGGTCTCTCTGATAAAACCTCGCAAATGTGTCCCACCAGTCGGATTGAGCTACTGCTCCAATCAATGTAGTGGAGCATCTCACCAAGACTAGCATGCAGAACCCTGCTCCGCCACAAAAAAGGGCAACCAACTAGACAGCAACTGAGAGGTAGTAAACAGCATGAAACAGCATGTACAGGCAAAGGCTGTTGAGTCACAAACCATGCAAAACGAGCCGTTGAGTCACAGGAAACATCTCTCGCATACGGAGAAGTCCTTCTTCACTGACACACAGGCCGCACCACAGAGCAAGCACTCTGACTCAACGCCAGTGATCGAGGCCATAGAGCGCAGTGGATGCAGAAAAAACGCGGTGATGGTTTTCTTCCACAGGTCTTTTGCAAAGGAACTGGTGTTTTGCTGGCGTCTCAAAATATTCTTGCAGCTCGTCAAAAATGTAATCCATGGTAGCCGTGTAATTAGAATGCTCCAATTAGTTTGGTCTTTGCTTGGAATTCCTTTTCAGAGCTCTTATAGCTTCGGCGTCAGTTCTTAAGGTTTGACCTGTCTTGAAGGCCCGAGAGAGTGTCTTTGCTTCTACCATCTTGTTGTGCAGCTTTGAGTAAAACAGCACGGTGCCGGAATGGCGGATAGCACGCAGAATCTGGTCTGCTACTTCTTGGTCCTGGTTTGGAAGTGCAAAGGTGTATATATATATATATATATGCGAGCTGCATTCTTTGAATTCAGGCGATCCAATACTGACATTGACAAATATATATATATATAGTACACATTTACATAGTGAATCTGAAGAAATACACTTCCTTCGAGTTGAATCCTCACAAGCCTCATTCCCCTCAGCAAAGGGGAGGATCAACGTGGAATCTGTTCAGTCTGAGCGGCTGAAGATCACCCGTCTCCGCATCAAATGCCAAAATCCTCAGAGCTGAGTGAGGTGAACGAGCGGCCATCCGGGGCCTGGGGAAGAATGACACGAAACTCGGTACCTTCTGTACGTATCCTTTGCTGACAGGACTCTTACTCCACCAGCTTCCCTCTAGACTCAACTCCGGTCGAGCGGCGCACGATTTTGTGGCCAAGCAAACCAGTGGGGGTAGCGCAACGTGAGTGCATAGATGGGATAGGTCCATGGCACCTCGAGCAGGGGTCAGGTCGCAACGACATCAAGGCATGTCGTCGCAACGTCTACATCAGGTGGGGGTGGTCGATGTAGAGCCTGGTTCTACCGGCCAAGCGCCTGTCAATTGTTTATGACAGTTGATGCAATGTCCTTCTTGGCATCAGGCCGTCTCCCCTATCAAAGCATGCCCACGGTTGCTGTTTGTTTAACTTGTTTTATTTGGTGAGTTGTGAAGCGTCAGACCTGGATGCCACACAGTTTTCCGACTTTATAGCACCGATGAGAAATGCCTACACCAATACTTTACCACTGTCTTCCAGAAATACAAGGAGAGATAGCAACAAATCTCTTCCAAGCAGTTGGTGGCCCAGAACAATATTAGGTGGTCGGTTCGCCCAAGTTGTAACTTGACTGGCAAATCCAGCCATGTTGCTTTACCCAGTTGCCAAACGCCGCAAGCACTGTATTTGCGGGAAGCGCGTGCATATTGTGATCCATACTGAGACAAGAGCTGGGCTCTTGATCTACAGCTGTCAACAGGTATGAACCAATTTGGGATTTGGATGAGTCATGTCGAAGGCTGTCACGTGAGCCGTCAATATTTTCCAAAATCGAACATGCATCAATGATTATTGATTTATTGGAACGTGGTTGAAAATACAGGAATAGAATTGGCAGTGCTTGCAAAAATTGGTGGCCTACAAAAAGTGAACCACGGCACGACGGTAAATTCACTGAGTATGATTCCAGTGCGAAATTCTTAGCAAGTTTAGGGAGGTGCCTGTTCCAAAGTACCGCTCACCCGAGTGTCGTAGCCGATTCCCTCGATGCTGAAAGAGATTGTTTGACGGTGTCGTGATCAGTTTGAAGTGTCCATTCCACCCCTCCCAATTCTCCAACTGTGCCCCGCGGCCATCCAAGAGGGCAAGATCTTGGCAACCAACATGAACCAAGGGATGCCCGGATTCCTGAGACGAAAAACCAAGGAACTAGAACGCTGCGACAGGTCTGAAAACTGGACTGTCACAGCTGCCGTGAATTGTTGGTATGAAAAGGCCACTCACCACAACTGTAAACCCGACCATTTTTTGTGTCTCTCTCGCGTAAAGCCCCTCTAGGAACGAACAATCGCCAGTAAACAGGGTGCATTCTACATTGGAACAAGAATTAGCAATGGGAGAAGCACTCGATAGCAAAGAAGCCAAATGAAAAAACAAAGCAAAGAACAAATTAACCCAGCTGACAACCCCAATAGCAAAGCATCCACCAAGATCTGGCGCATATCGTCTTAGTGCGTTGTTCGCTGCGTTCTTTCACATGTCGAATATCGAGGACAATGTCTAAAGCCGCGTGATGAAGTGCAATCCAATAGTTTATACCCAAAGTTACACAAACAAGTTCAATATCCAAGCAACGTGCTTGTTCCATAGACCACGAAGCACTTGATGAATGTTCGCCGATGCCCGAATTGTATGTTCAAGTGTCTGCGAGTAGCTAGTCTAGTTTAATGCTTAAACGCGGCCATTGCGTGCATAGGTAAGGTTTTTGGACCGGAGTAATGCTGGGCTCATGAATTCCTGTCGCGCTTTGCCTTTAAAGTTGTGAGCGAATGCCAAGTCCAATGTTGTAGATCTGGTTGCTGCGTAGATCTGCTTACTTGTGTTCATCTCGAACAAAAGTGATCAGGGCAAGAACTGCATTCACGCCCACAGGAAAGCCCAAGCCCAGGCCGAACGGACGTGGTCTGGCGGGGCGTCTCCTGAGTAGGCAACGTGTCTGAAAAGCTGAAAGCCTGTCGAGACGCCACTGAAACATGACCACACACATGACGGAGATACCAGACCTAAACATGACCGAGACATACCGAGACACCACCCAAACATGGCTGAGACACCGGGACACCACCGCCCCAGGCCGGGGCCGTGGATCCGACGGCGCTCCACCGGCCAAAGAGTGTACAACCCAAGCTATCGCTATTGGGGAACACATGCAAAGCACCGGAATCAGGGTCTAATGTTGCTTTTGTAAAAATGACATGGACCATCATTAGAGCATGGAGCCATAGCCATCTCTGTATCGAGATGGGGGCACCATGTTATCCTTCCCTTCCCACTCTCCTGCTCTGCCAAGAGACTTTCCCATCCCCATCACCAATGAGAGGCCTTTCGCTCCAGGTAGCTGGCCAACCTAATGAAACACAGGGCTTGGAGGGAGCTTTGAACCCCGTCGCACCAGCGAACCCAACCACCCTTTGGACGTCCCTTTCAAAAGATGAACACACCGTCTTGTATACGAAAGGGAAAGAAAAAGAATCGATCCGTCATCCGCGAGATGAGAATTCTAAGCCCGACACCGCCACTGCTTGGTTACCCTCATAGGGCAGCTCTTGCCACCAAAGCTTCCTCCCCGTGACATAGTCATACCTCAGGTGAGCGGAGCTTCAAGCTAAACAGGAAACCGTGACCGGGCACATGTTCTTCAGTCGTCGATGGTAACAAAGCAGGAGTTGGCTAATCTGCCATCACACATTTCATCTTTGAGCCGATCAGTGAAAAGCCCGCTGGTTGTCATTGTTCATACCCCAGATTAACCCATCACCACCCACACGGATGGGGGCACACCAAGGCCCTCTGCCCTGCAACAAGCTGTCTGGGTGCCCCCAGCGCATGCAAATGGCCTCCCACGGGCTTAATAAAACAAGCTCTGCTGAGACTCCCAAATGTGTTCCTCCCCGCAAGCGTTGCACATCCCCACAAAGCCGGCCAACATCTCGACCCAAATCCATCTACTCACTGCTGCAGAAGCCCGTCCGCGCCTTTGCCTTCTGACATGCCTTCCTTCATGCCGCCACCAACGTTGCAAACCTCAAGTTCATTAAAAAGTGTCGTGGCAAGGTTGGGTGAGCTGGGAATACAAACCGCGGGCGCCTGCGGGCCAGGAAATCTCTGACCTTTCCACACTTATGCGCAGGGTTCTCCCATGTTCTCCCCATCCTCATTAAACGAACACTTACTGCTTCCTTATCCAACCGCTTTGCTCGTTCAATAGAGAAGACCCAACACTATGCTGTTGACTCTGCAACACCCCCCCCAGCTTCATCCCAAGCATCTGCATAAACTTTGCCCTCGGAGATCACGGCGGCTGCTGTGCTGGCGCTCTTTGGATCAATCCTGGATTCACGCTGGGCAAAGTCTGCACGCCGGGTAAATTGGGAACGTGATTGCATAACATCCACTGATGTATCATGTATCAGTCATCCGGGTGCAATATTGGGGCTGTTAGTGTAAGGGGAGAAACATATTGATCATATTGCCCTTTTGCAGAAACGGCCCAGGGCCCCGGACGCGCCGCCATACCAAACCAGCTTTCCCTCGAGGGTGACCCGATACACTGCGCCGGTGACGTCTTGAAAGACGAAGCTTCCATCATGTTGCCTCAACTGGAGAGCACGCAAACGCTCTCCAGTGGGTGCACTCTGAGAGAACCAAGAGTTCTTGTGATTGCCGGAGGCTAGGCCGCTAGGCCTGTTCATTCTGCTCCAAACATTCGCATTTCTAGGGAAGAGCAACGTTTAGAGGAAGTTCTGTATATGAAAACAACGTAACAAGACCAAAATAGCACCTCTCACTAGGAGCAGGGTTGAACTCTTCCGTGAATCCTTCTAGGGTGGAGGATTTTTGGTCATGGTCACAAATCTTTACATGGAATCACAATACAACATGCCCTCATTCCCTGATCATGTTCCCGATATATACCATTCAATCCCTGATGGTCCTAAAGCCTTTAGCTATGTAAACATGTGTGTAAGTGTGTAGGCTTTTGGAAACCTGATGACCGACCCGCTAGAAAAAGAAGACTCACTGGGCTTGAGTAGGTGGTGTCAGTTGTGTGACAGCCGCACCAACAGCCCAATCAAACGTAGAAGTCTTCGGTTTTAATCTGTTGAAGGCACGTGGAAGCCTGGAAGTTGTAGACGGTCCTTGGTGTCCAGCGCCGAGGTTCACTTGTATTTCACTCCCAAGATGCCACAAACCATCACAAAATCCATGCTTTAGCACAAAGAATCAAAGACTTTAACACTCTTTCAATCACTTTCCTTGACGCCTTTCACCTCAGTTCTCGCGGACTCGCTTCAATTCTCTTCACAGTATTTGTTGTGCTTGAGCTGAGCAACGTGTAGGGCGCAAATTTGAAAACCACCGATCCATCTGACCTCGTACAGGGCAAAGGGAAAGCAGTTGAACAGCAAGTGGCAAGTTGAATTGGACCAACTCAATAGATTCCACAGCTATTCTGGCCATGTTTATCTATATACTTTCAGTTGAGAGGCTGAGAGGAAGGCTCATGTGGCTCAGGTGATTCCGAAGAGTCAATCATAGTTAATATATAAGCGCCATAAACTGAAAACACAAAATAAATCCTTCATTTGTTGCCAAACAACATATTCCATCACCTTAGAGGAGTTCAGGAGTCTTAACCACATATATACTGATGTCTGGTTTGATCCATGTTCATCCCGGTGACCTCCCGTCAACTTCCATTCGCCCCTCCCCTCTCGGTCTCCGCACACACTCAGGCCCAAGACCCGGTTGTTCTCGTGCTGAGTTGGCGCAGGGGCGTCTATCCAGCAGGACATCTTACCAATCTCTCATTTTGTAGGCAAGGGTCGTGCCGTTCTTCCTCTGCTTTATTCTTTGCATCTTATTGGTATGTCCAGCCGCATGAGTGCGCAGGCGCCAAGAAAGCAAATTCTTGCAAGGTAGCCTGCGAAATCAAGCAGGTAGTTTTAAACCCATGACAGAATTTTAGTAATCCTCAAAAAGCTTTGCCTAATGGGAGGTTTTGCATGTCCAAAAGGGATGTCTGAGAGACAAAAAAAGAGTTAACCAATGTCAACTTCAGGCAATGAAGCAAAAGCACCATTGCTCCCAGTTGGTCGCAGCAGTCTGACCCAACTGTGAAAATAGGATGTCAGGTATTCAGGGATCTTGATTGTTGCTGTGTTCTGTCTTGATAAAGTCCAGTGCAAATACAGTACCCCGGACGAATCAATCGAATTCAACAGAGATTGGCCACCCTGTGCAGTTGATTGAAAAGCTGGCATGGCAAGACCGCGTCACAACTGGGGATGTTTTCTTGGACCGAACCAGCTCCATTGAATGATCGCATGCGCATTGCGTTGTCATTGTATGGTGCAGCGGTGCTGGAAGCAGAACAAACCAATATACACATACAAAAAACGTATAATAGAATATTTATGCTGCTATATAGAAAATAACATCACAATATCATGAAATCTCTCCACTTTCGCCAGTTTCGCCAGGGCACATTCCAGCGCTGTGTGCGGCCAGCAGCCAAGGTGCTCACCACCTGGCAACTGTGGCCAAACGTATGCGCCAATGGAGTCATTGGATGTTTCGCTTGTTTGCCTTTTGATGTGAAGCTGGACTCATTGTGATACATCTTACAACTTTCTGCAAAATTTCAGGATGAAGGAAAAGGAAGGAATCACAACCTGAAAGCAAGCTGTAAGCAACAATTTCAACAAAACATGAAACCTTTTGAATTCTGCAAACTTTTTTCAAAAAACTCTTTCCCTCCGGAACCCTCCCCCAAACTCCCCATCCGGCCGGATCCATCGCGGAGAGGACAACCACCCCCTGGGTCGCCAGCAAGCAATCCGTGGTGCTATCTGACATCTGTGTTACCTGCATCACGTTCCGCGCCATTCGGAGAGAGACCAATGCGGACATGCAAAAGTGGCTGAACACGAATCCACCTACCACCCAGGTCTACCAAATCCTCGACTCCCACCAGGCGGTTCTGTAAGTTGGTGAACTGGCAGTCATAGAATAACAAAAACAAAAGGGGTCAGGGTCAGTTGCCCAACCCTGAGTGAGCAGAAATTGCTGTTTGTTTCGGCAATGTTTTTCAGTTGTCACCTGAACACTGTTGATACACAGGCTGCACCACTTCATCCCGTCGTGAGCGGGGAAAAAGGCCAGTCTCCGTGGTTGAACCATCTCAGAAATGAAGCAAACAAGGGAGCCAAGATGAGCTAAAAGAATCAGCCGAGATCTTTATAAACTGTCAGCTGGACATCCCACATCACCTGATTTTGAAGACATGTGGAGGCTCTGTATTGTCCATCAGGTCGAACGTTCAAGGACACTGGATTGGGAATCTCTGTCAAGCTTCAATTGGGTATCGCGGGCCATTTCCAAATGACCAAAATTGGTACCCCATCTCAGGTGGTGTACATCCAACAGCCTGTCTTGTCCCTGTCATCACTGCTGCCGTCACAGCCTTTCTGGACCAAACTTCAGCTCCTGAAGAATGGGGTAGAAACGATAGAGGATGGCACGAGGTGACTACAATTTCAACCTATCATGCGCTGTATGCAAAGGGTGGGATGTGCGGGATGTTCTGTCTGCATGTGTTTCATCCGGTCAGGTTTGTGCCCAACTGCCGGCTGGTACCCCTAGTGTCCTTCGCTACTAGGGCCAGGGCATTCGAGCAACAGGTCATCAAAAGGTCCAAAGCATTTGATCTATTGCATTTCACAAATGCAAAGCATTGGATCTTTTGGTATGCTTTGTGGGTCAGGTTGGAATGAGTGAGACTCCAAATGTAAAAGTGCAAGAAGGAATGCGTCCGCAAGCAGCCCAAACAAACGGACAACTTATAGACCTGACCGAAGTGAACATTCTGGAAAACACATCTTGATCTTTACGGCACAGAACCACAAAAAGCAATTCCATATAACTACCAGCCATCTTGGATAATGACTGACATGGAAAAGGCAGGAAAAGGCACTAGCTTCCAGATTCTAGAGGACATCAGTCTTGCAGAATGCAGTGCCTCCGTGAAATCTACATATACTAGAGGAGCCCTGCTCCCGCTCCTGTCTCCAGGTCTATGGAGATCAAAAAACCAAAGGTCGACAACATCAGCAAGCGGTCCTCAGTGTCTCAGCACTGTGATGCTTGGCACCAGTTCTTTGTGTTCGCTGTTCGTGTGCCCTGAAGAAGAGACGTGCCGACCATCATGAGCCCTCAAAACATCTCAAGACCTAAGACTATAACTACTGTATACCTGTGTATGTTATATATGCGTACGCACATGGCTCATATAATATGTGCACATCTACGGAGCACCGTCCCAAAACCTGGATCGCGTGTCTGACCGTGTTTGACCTACATACGAGATGTCCTGCTAACTGGTTGCCACCTAAGCCAAATCCAGCAGCCCTCCCGACTTCCAACCCTCCCAGGCCAAGCTTCGCCCTCAATGACTGGGACTCCTGCAAGCAGCTTTGCCATGCTTTGCCCATCTCGCATCAGGAATCTTACAAAGAAAACTTATATAGCTAAGAAGAATCCCTTGACTACATCAGAGAATCCACGGGCCATGTTTGGGATGTCGTTGGAATGATTAGTGGCCTGCTCTTGACTTCTTTGCGAGCCTTGTCTGGCAATTTGGGAGTTTCGGGGCAACTGTGGTGCTGGTGCATCGTATGAACTGGCAAGTAGATGTAACCAGGGTGCCTGACCATTTGCTGTAGGACTCTTGGGTCTATGCTTTCCGGCCAGCACAGATTCGGAAACCCGTCTCCTGGTACTCCTCCTCGCTCGACACCAGTGTAGTGGCTCCAAAGCTTCTTTCCATCCTTGCTTGGGTCACATTCTGGTGTGGGATCTCAGGGAAAACTCGTAAGAGCAAATCGGTTTCACACGTGGTTTGAGGGAGAACCACTGTGCATCCAACACTGCAAACTGCATCACCGGGACCGACGCTGCATGAGATGGAAAGACTTTGGCTTTGGATGTTTGGAAAGGAACACTACTCCCCCAAACGGATGCCCAATCGCGGAGGGGTCGTTGAACAACCACGTGTTGGCACGTCTGTGTGGTTCAGGCATCTCCTGAAAAGACACCTACTTCTTTTCGTCGACATGGGCTGCTGGAGAGTTGAAGAAAGACAAGGAAACCCATGCCCTTTCACTCTAGATGAAAACCCAAGCCATGACAAACAAGACACACGAAAAGACAAAACCTTTGCCATCTTCACATCTGAACGGCTGGGCTAAACTTCACGCTTCGCCCAGCAATGGAGGTGACCTCAGACAGGACGGAAGAAAAAGGTGTCTTGGAGAACGGAGCGAGTCTAGAGTGTACATCCAACTGCCTTGGTGATTTGGAAGCTTTGGGCGTTCTGAAGAAACCCAAGAAAGACATCTGGCAGTTTGTTGGCTCGTATGGTGATCTATTCGTGATGAAGGAGCAAGGACATCATCCATCAAACTTTTATCACAGTTTTTTGGGGCGCAAATAACATATCACATATATCATCATATATCTATATTATTCCACTGTAGCCGTTGCCAGCCGGGACCTACGCAAGGCGACAATAATCCTCAATTAAAAATGAACAACATGTATGGCTCTTTTGTAAAAGGGAACATCTCCTGGCGTGGGAGTGCACATTTCTATTTGAAGGCTTTATTTAGCCTGTTGCAGGACTGGCGTCATTACAAGCAGTGATTTGCTTAGGATGTTCCTCACTGAGCAAAACACGTGTGCCTTCGATTTTGGATCTCCAAGAGCAGGATACTGGCTTGAATAGGATCAGTGGCTCCATGGTCCTCAGGCTCCTTCCATGACCACACTGCACCACATACACTCACGCCGACTAGGTGCTCTAAGGTCGTTACCTTTCGAAGCCTGGTCCTTTGGTCCCAGTTGTCGAACTCACCTGGTCCTTGGACCAACACACCGTCCTCCTCGCTTCACTTCGCTTCAAGCAGCGTAGACATTCAGCTGGTCGTCGATCAATGGAGTGGCACGATGGATATCCAAGATTTCTGCCTTGCATAATGAACAATTGATTCGGTGTGAGGGGAGTTCAGTGCAAAAATGAAATGAGGGCCTCTAGCAGTAGCAAGTCGAACGGCAACGGAAGCATTGAAGATCACGGTTTCTCACTTCAGAATTCAACATGAATTAAATGTCAATGACACATCACCATCAATGGGTCAGTCAGCCCCTCAGTCAGTTTGGCAGGTTGAAGCCTTCCCATCCACAGGGACAAAAACAAACAATGCAATTTTTGACAACCATGAATGTTCTGTTGCATGGCGACTTCTTTGGGTAGCCACTGCGACCGTGCGGAGTTGACAAATGGGATGTGTGAGATTTCCAAAGCATCTGTCTGTCTCGCCTGCCAGGTCCAAGCTTCAGACTTCGAGATGTTTGGCATCACCTCAGCTGCTCCACAGCACGGGGACGGCTCGATAAAGCTAACCATGGTGTTCCCAGCTTTAAACAATCAGTCGCACATGCAGAGTATTCTGCATCATCCCACAGTTCATTTATATGCAGATCACAACCTCTAAAAAGTCAAACTCTTTAAAGTATTTCATTTTAGTTCTTTTCGTCCTGGTGTCTCAGGATTTCTTCCGACAGTGATCACTCGGTTTGTCCAGCGGCATGGGGCGAGTACCCAGTACGCTCAGGTGTCCCTTTCCTCAGTCGTGCTCGGTGGGTTTGGCTCCAAAAGCTAAACACTCTCAACCTATAAATGTCAAATGACACACACACACACACTTCCAGACACTTGTCATTTCAAGCTCTAGCCAGCTGCTAGCCCTTAAGTAAGCTTAAGGAGCGCAGCTTGCACCTTCGGGAGAAACTTTACAGGTCAACTGAACAAGCTGCACTTGTGGACTAGGCTAATGGCTCCGGCTCTCGTGTCCCCCTTCAAAGAGCCTTCTCAAAGGCAAAACAAACACTCCATCTGCCAGGCGGCTGCATCGGCCAATGATGCCACCGTGCCCCTGATGCCATGGTTGGCGTCGTGGGCATGCAGCCGCCTGCTGCGCAGGTCCCATCGCCCTCCAGCTCGGCAGCCTGAGCTCATGGAAGGTGAGACAACCCAATATGGAAACTGACAAAGCGTATGGAGCTGATTGGATTTCAACTTATCAAACATCTACGGAGGTATCTACTTGGATTCGGACATGTCAGGGGCCGGAAAGGCCGTGGTTCTGAACGCCACAAAACTCATCAACCCCTCTCTTGCCGCACCCGGACCACAGAATAGCGCAAAAAATATACAGGCACTCAAACAGTGTCCGGGCCTCATGATCCTCAACTTGTCATTGAACATTTGCTAAAATGAGGTCTCATGTTCCGGCTGCTATCAAAATGGCCACACTCTAGCATTCCCCCTTACCAATGAATGCATACGTCACAATCAACTCAAACAAACAGCAGCTGCGAGACTGCAAAACGTTCAAATCAAGGCCGGTTCAACTTGGGCCTTTGACTCAGGGGACACCTTTGGAGCAAAGCCCATAGGCACAGGACTGCAGCCAAGCTACTCCGACCCAAAGCAGCGCCACCAATACGACGTGCCACATGGGATGTGTGCGCCACATGGCGGCAGGTTCAAAACCTTGTGCCTGAGGTGAACACTCCATGTTGCGAATAGTCTACATGAGTCCACGTCATGTTGACTTATATCCGTGACTTTAGAAAGTGCTCTGTGGTGGTCAATGGCGGTCATGTTGGATTGGGTCTGCCTGACGGACAGTCATCTTCTTGCGCAATATGACCGCCTGGACCCTTGGGATTTCCGGTAGATGGGCTTCTTGCAGAGTCACTGACGGTCCCCAGAGAAATGGTTTTTCATGGTTTTTCTATTTGCCCAGCTGAATCTGAAATTATTGCACACACACAGCTCCTCTGTTGTGAGAAGTGATTGAGAGGGAAGTTTTCGTTCAAAATCTTCATGCTCTGTTAGCTCCAGAACTTCAAAACCTGCGATCCAATGACGGTGTCCAAAGGATACACTCTGGATGGTGGACATAGGAAGTACAGCTGATACAGTATCCATGTGCAGAGGAGGCAACACATCCAAGTACTGGGACAAGCTCCACTGTGGTTGTGTTCAAGTCTGTTTGAATCACATACAGTAATTATTTTGGCATTGTTGGACTGTGTTTGTCCTGAGCTGTCAGCTGTCTTCCATCTTCCAAACAAATTCCATGTGCTGCAACAACCCTGCGCAAGAGGATATGAAAGCATGGGTCTACCCATTTGCTCACTGGATGCAACCACCGTGTCTTTTCCTCACGACAGCAGAGGTCGTCCGCCCGCTCTTCGGGCGCTTTGGAGGGTGTGATGAAGGATCAAGTCCACGGGCAGGCAGTCACCCCCCCGGAATATCTCGGGATCCATCCTGAAATCCCAGAAGGGGAGCAAGGTGGTTTTGGTTTCTATGTGAGGCTCTTGGGGTGAACATGGGTATGAACATGGGCATTGCGGGCTGACCTGGTCTGTCATGCCCGTGTTTTTAGCGGGCTCTGTGTCTGCCCGAGGGCAAGAAATTCGGTCAGTCTTGCCACAAGGAGGTTTTGAGGATCTGGAACGGCCACCCATTTTGAAGCTAGACAACGATGAAACTCCTGGACTTTCTTGGGACAAGGATGTTCTTGAGTCGTGCTCCAGCCCCGTTGGGCATTGACCCTCCTTTGGAATTAACTACCCCATCTCGTTGCTTCGAGGTGGACAGAGATCTTCTTGAGATGGGCCAGCGGTCGGAAAATCAAACTCCTTCTACCCGGGGGTTGTTGATCATGGCAGCATGACATCACTTCTCCGACCGGCCTGGCCACCTTGGGTGCTCGACCTACGTCCCTTGCGGCTCCGGACACACCGGGCCCCAGAAAGAAAGGTGAGCAGCACATGACGGCGACACCGACGTCGACCATGAAGATTGGACTATCAAGGCTGGGTTCCAGGAATGTCTTAAGATCTTAAAGCTGGAATGGACTCTTGAGATGGAATGAATTCAGAAAGCACGAGAATGCATCAAGCCAATGAAGTGAATGAGTGAAGAACACATACCTTTCATCGGGATCCTTACTCCAGCTTTGAAGAATCTTATTCATTCAGGCTACGATTCCCTGGCATCTTCCCAGCATCCACTTTCCAAAGGACCAAACATCCACAAGGAGAGGAAATGTGTCTAAAACAACCAGGGGATATGTTTGGGACATGTTGCAACGGCAGTGGGTTGTATGAGCTCGTGTCATTTCACCCCGATCCTCCTGGGCAACCCAAGCCGAGGCCTTGAACTTGATAGCCTATATCATGTCTTACAATAAATGGTTTGGGCCCGACACTACCCCTCAGTTCGCCCCATCCAGGAATCGAGTCGCCATTGATATTGGGATCGCCTAGCTCTTGGTTCAAGGTAAAGTTGCCTTTTCTGCGGTTGTCTTCGCTGGTTTTGAGAACAAGTTCTAAGAACTAGAAGTTCCCTGCTGAATGTTCTAAAGAAGTGGAGGGATTACTCTTCGAGGTCGACAAATCTCAGCATGTGTACAGTAAGCTCTTCTCATCACCTTGCCTCAGCTTCAGCATTGGTGTCAATGGATGCATCCTGATCACGGTTGCACTAAAACAAAGCTCCGTTTGGCGAAAAAAGAGGAGGAAGGGGTGAAGGGTTGGTGCATGCAAGGCTGCAAAAAGAAAGAATGCTTCAATTCAAATCACGTATCCCAAACAATTATATTATAGTCTATATTATATATGTATAATGTATTGCACGTATATATATATATATGTGGTAGAGTACGTAAATCGGCTCAACAGTGAACACACCCTGTTAACTTCCAGGTTGTGCTACACGTATCAACAGGGAGTCTTATCTTCATGAGTGACATGTTTCAGCCTTTAGTTGTTCACTCTTGGGGTGCTAGGTGAAACGTGAACGTTCGTGGATGGTGGCGTCTTGGGCACGCATCCTCAGCGACTTGCCAACAAACAATTGTTACGCTCTGATGACAAAACCATCTCATGCTGGCAGTTGTCGAGCCGATACACCCTCTGTCATTCCCCGGGCTATGGCTATGATTCCAGCATTGGGGACTTCATGCCAAAACTCGAAGAAAACAACCACAAATGAATTGTGCATCTCCTTTGACCGTACGGGCATTTGCCGACTGTCCAGACTACAATCACAAACAACATCACCAGATTGCTCCTCTTACAAAACCTTCGGACGTTTCATCTGTTTTACATGTGCCACAAGAAAGCTCCTTCATTTTATCGACCGTATACCTCTGCTCCAACAATCACCGCACCTCGCACGCCGCCGCGTGCCAAAGGTGAACTTCGGCCCTTTCTGTGATGGTGCCTCTGCGTGGGTCCGTTGCGGACTGCCATTCGCTCCTCAATTTGTGCAAACCTTTTTGATCATGAAATTGTCAGGCTCGCTGAAATCTATTGTCCAGTGGAACAAACGGCAGGATGATCAAACCAATGCATCAAACCGTGGAGAAGGTGGTGAAGCACTCGCAAGTGCATTTTGGCAGCCAGGGCCCTTCTACCACTGATGCGAGGCCCACAGAGTCATCTGCAGTTTGTGTGTAATTATGGGGCAGTTCGATCTGGGCTGCATGCAGGTAGAGGAGAACTTCTGCATTAACATGCCCGAATTGTCGCCAAAACCAAGGTAGGTTTGGAACCATTCCCCACTTCTACTAGGACCGTACCGCTTATTCTCTCCACGTGATCTCCAAGCTCCCAGATCTCCCCACCATGTCTCGCCTGTTCGTAGTAGCCGGGCCCCGGAGATCTTTCTTTCACAGGCGCCCGCTGTGGGCTCCGCCCAAAGCTCCTGCAGCGTGGATGCGATCAGAAAAAATAAACAGGATAGATATGTAGACTCGACACCGTCGGAGCAGCCATTGATCCGTTTGTTTCGATCAATCTTTTGCCGGAACAACAGTGAGGATAGTGAGGGGGGTGTGATGTCCAATTGCCTGGTCCGAAGCGCGCCAAACAGTGGCAATATGAGGAAGAGTCCAAAACTAAATATATATATATATATATCAATTACTTTACATGTTGAAAATGGATATCACTGGGCGCTAGTGAACTGAGTTAGTTCCTAAAGAATGCGGATCAACCCACCCAACCCCAAACAGATTTCTGCCACAAGTAACCAGTATGACCACACGGATTTCCCAACAACCACATTCTCATCGTAAGAGTATCGAGGTTCCGGACAACGATGAGGAGGTATGGCTGCCTACATCCTTTCCCCTGAACTGAACTTGCCATCCCAAAAAGAGATCTATACAGTAGCTGACCAGAAATATGACGACTTTTGGGGGCACCTGTAAATACTATATAGAGTTTTCGGTACCACATGCTTAGGCATCCCTTCAAATGCTGTGACTTTGGTGCCATGAGCGGGCCACTCCTAAATCTTTTGGTGGGCCCTCGTTTTTAATCTGTACAAGCAAGAGCCGAAGGCACCAGTTGCAAAGAGACCTGGAAAAGCAGCTGCATCCTTTTGAACATCCATCCATGGTTGTGGTGGGTCAGACTGGTCTTCCAAAAAGAAGGTAAAGGGACGTAAAGGGTTTGCTGCGGAAAATTGGCTTGAGAGCGGAAGCAATGTGCTTGCTCTGAACAAAGTGAAAAAAACATCCTGGGGCTTTTTATTTGTTAAATCACCATAGACATTTTCTTGGAAGTGAGCTTGGCGACTGGGTGACACAAAATATCTTGGATAGAACATGTACGACTTCCAAAGTTTCAAGCCAATGATCACAAGTAGACAAGTAACCTGAAGGAGCTGTTCCAAACGTCTGTTTGATCTGTTTGCTCCTCGCTTTCGCAAACTGGACTAAACCCTGTCGATGGACGTTAGGACGTTATGGTCGGCACGGTCGTCACGGGCGCTCCAGGAAGGTGGCCGCTTCCGGGGTTCGTCCGCAGAGGTCGGCGGTGGGCCTAGCATGAAAACGGTTCAGCTACAACGCTCAAACTACGTGGTTCAAGCTATGTTGGAAGTTCCGTTTTCAGTTCAGTTTGATGCATAGAGGATTATGGAATCAGAAATGACCCACTTCGTTCACCAAACAATGCCGTATGCTAGCTGCCCCATCTCGCCTACGGATTTCAGCTTGCCCAGCCAGGCAGCCTGCAACTCTACAGCGTCCCAAGTGGCGGATTCAAACTCTCTGATGAACCTGTAAATAGTCAGGGATGCAACGGCCTAGGTCGCAAATGATGTTTGAGGTGGTCATTGTGGCAATACTATGGAGGTTCGAGATGTCCTATTTCTTTCCCAAAGACTGACAGTGTAACCCGAACACAGGCTACTTACCTCTGGGGGCACTGGACAACTCTCTTTTCATAGCAACTTCTCTTCTCCAATCAATCAGGGCGACTTGCCATTCCTTTGTGTTGGTCGCAAGTCTGATCAAAGTAGTTTCTTCCGCCCCCATGCCTCTGGCCGCCGGCAGAAGCTGAATGCACCTCCATGCCTCAGAGTTGTGCTGTTCGACCAAAAAGATTGCCTTAAATCTTCTAATTCCACCCAATGATGCCCCCGCACAAAGCTACAAGACTTTGTAACAACATGTGCAATATATATATATATTATATATAATATTAATGTCCTGTCAGTGATCCAAAGGACATTCTGAGAAGAGCGTCCTTTAACCTTAGCTCCATGAACGTCTGACTGAACCCATGAACAACTCACTGTAACCAAAATTTGGTGCTGGCCCCAGTGGCGCGATGCTTGACTCAAACTCGCCATACTATGCCATACTGTATACTAAAACAAACGCAAACCTCCTCACCGCCCATCTCGGCCTGGCAGTGGGCATGCGCGAAGGCGCACCGAAGGTGGATGGCAAGGTGTAGGTGCCGGGGCCAGGCCCTTCTGTGAAGAATTCCACCATGGACTGGCACGCAAAGCAATATATCTTCGTGGTGCTTCTTAAAATAGTGCCGGACCACGGAAAATTCAGCGTGCAAAATAGATTATATAAAATCCTTCAAGAATGATCAAGAATGAACATAACCCATGTAGGTTTGGCTGGGAGAAAAGCTCCTGAGCTGGCTTTGGTTACAAAACAACACAATCCACACTACCGTGAACCGCAATCTTCAGCTCTTCCTCATGCATCTCCTATCGAAATATTCAACCGCCCATCTCTCTCAACTCTGAGCCTCTTCCTGCGAGCCCGTCTGTCTGGAGCTCGCCCCACGCGCTGTTGACATCGTCGTCTTCCCGGAAAGCCGTGACATTCGCGAGGCGCTGCGCTCGTAGGCGGGGACCGTGGAGGCGCCAACCTGATCCAGGTCCTGGCAACGTGCAGTTGATGTGTGTGGACCGATGTTACCGAAAGGCCCGGAAGTACATGCTCATCTTCATTCCTTCATCAGCGCAATGATGGCAATATATGGCACTGATCGTCACTGATTCTCCATCTAATAGAAACCAAAAGCTACAGCAAAGCGAACAGGAAACGCACTCTCCAGCCTGGCCAAGGTCCCATTCATCGAGGAAGCTCACCTCATGCAGCTGCAAGCGACCCTGGCCATCTGCGTCCAAACACCTCCGCAGCTGCTCCAGTGGCCAGCACGGCCAGAAGCGATTGTTGGAGGTGTTTTTCTGCAGATTATATATAAGGATCAACATGTCAAAAGGATGTTGCAATGATATCATTATATAGAGCTAATGTTGTTTTTTACACGAATTTATGGTAGCCAGATCCAAAATGCAAAAGGCCTACTACAAAAGCTTGGTCATGACAAATACAGCAATGGACCAAAAGAGCTCTCCCCAGCCAAAACAATCAGACAAGGGCATTGTATTATGCATGTTCTCAAGAGTCCAACAAAACATCAAGCGTGGCTATTGAGACCCTGAAGGATTGATCCACTCAGGACTCTGTCAAAACTCCTGAAAGCCAACACGGACCCTGCACCTGGAAAGTGGGCCTTGATTTCAGGGTTCGGACACGTCAGGACCTCTGTTTAAAAAAGAACTTAGGGTCCCAAGGTACATACATTCTCGTCATGGACTAAAAGTCTTGAACCCACTGCGCCTGAAGAGTGTTATCTCGTCTCCAGTGAAACCAAACATGGATACCTGGCCAAATGAGCTGTGAGTCGTCCTATCTGGAGGTTGTGCCGACGGTGAAGTGAGAGCTTATTGCAGTAGACTGAAGCGATTAATCAAGCGGCTAGCACTTATTTGTACAGCATCTTGTCTTCAGTTTTGTGTGTATTTACCCTCGACATTCATTGACCCTAGCGTCAAGGGAACTCTACGGAAACAGCAGAAAAACGTTGCATATATAGCAGTGGTAAACCAGGCCCCAAACCTGAACAGAACTCGCTTCAATTGATGTGAGACTATAGGGCCATGATTGCAACCCAAGCATCCCGGGTTAAACACATGCCACTGGCGAACAGCGTGGGCTGCAAGCTATTTACAGTATGTAAACCTCGAACCCTAAGGTTGCAGAAGACCAATTGCTTGCTTGGGTAAATGTTGATTGATGTAAGTTCCCATGTTCGGACAACAACAGGAACACGGACAAATCCGCATTCTTCTTCTTTGTGTTCTGTCATCTCTTCTCCTAGATGAGTTCAACCCGGTGGAGGCAAACAACGGTTGGAAGATGCTTTGGCCAACAACATTTGCAATTATTGATGCCTGTTGACCATGTCAAAGTCCACAGTCCACACTTGGGCGGGACCTGGCAAGTTTTGACAACTAACTGGACACTGGAAGGTGATGCAAGCGTTCGCTCCACCCAAGAGAACTTAAGACTACGTCAAAAGCCTGAAGATGCGGAAGCACCATGCGATCTGCAACGACCTGCGATCGGCAACACTGTCGAGCTGCTGCAATGCGGAACTCCTTCACAGTGAGTTCGCCAGACTTGTCCTGCCATCAACATGGACCAGTTCAAGTAAGAGGAATACGAACAAACGGAAATGAACCATCCAAAGCTGTTTCTAGCAGTTGTGGACTACATTGAACAAAACGTATTTCAGCCCATTGCAGTTAGGATGATTACAGTCCCTACATAAAGTGGAACATTGTTATATAAATAGACCTTTTATCGTAATTAAATCTACTGTATCTTCTTTACTGTTGAGTTGTAGTTTCATTGTGTCCACCACCTTGGCCTCTTTGACTCCGGGGTGCCCGTAACAGTTACCCCCACCTTGTCCAGCACACGGAAGGCTGCCCGAACTCCGCCGAACTCTTGGTCGGCCCAGCGCTTCAGCTCCACCAGCATCTGGTTCGCCGTAGCATCCTTGGTGGCAATTGACACGCTCCGGTCTGGGGGACTCAGCCTAAAGCGGCGATCCGGAACATGACGTGGCCCAGCATTCGGCAAATTGCCTCTAAGTTCAAACAAATATAACTTATATAACAAATATCCAGCGTTTTTGGGCTAAGTCCGGCTAGCCTTGGCCCACACCCTTGAATCAGGAAGTGCCCTCTGACTCTGGTACGAAGCCGTGACAGCCGATGCCGCTTTCTTTCACCAGTAGTTGCTGTAGTGACAGTTCATTCTTTTATTTGCGTTACCAAAGAGGCTACAGGGACTGAACGACTTATCAATGCTTCCATCCTTTGAAGGCCAGGCATCGATCTCGGCCAACGAGATGGCGCCGCTGAAATCCTCCGCCGGAGAGCTGGCCAAAATGTGCGGTAGCCGACAAAAAGCCAAAAAACAAAAAGTGGACCACAGAGACGAAGAACGCATGGAATGTTTACACAGCATACAATTGGATCGTCACTGTCGTGCTGCTTTCACCAGACAAAGATCTCGTGACGTCCGACTGTGCCTTGGTTTTCTTCGGGACATCTCAGATTTTGAGGCCCTTGGTCCCTAGGTTTAGTGGCTTCAAACAACTCCAACACCTTGAATGATTTCCAATGTCGCTATTGTTCTTGAAAAAAACACTCTATATAAATATATATAAATGTATCTTATCTTCCTCTCTTGGATATCCACAACAATACAGTACTCAATACGAGCCAATCATTTACGAGAACTTGTATATAGATTATAGATCCTGTCACAATTGCATGACAGCATCCTTGCAGTCACTGAGCCAGCTTTGCAGGCCCGTCCTTATCAAGGTCTAACCAGGCGCCCGCAGCATCGTCGAAGCCCAACTTCTTGCTCGCCGTGAGAAACTCAAACCTCAGAGATGGGCAGAAACCCACTAACACAACCATTTGCAGCTTAAAGTACCTAACCAAACGGAGACCCCCTCCATCACATCTTCGAATCACACCATCGTTGAAAGTGGTGAAAGAGCATCTGGCCCAAGAAACTGAGGGACCAGCATCTATGATGCTTCACCTAAACCTGATGTATGCAAGCCACAAAATCACGGAAGCACAAGGCGCAAGGGGTCTTTGCAGGGAGACGACTATTGTGTGGAAGGAAGAAACACCGCACAAGCATTGATTGAGAAACCGGTGCAAATCTTGTCTCTGCTTGACTTTAGGTCGGGACTAACTGCCCAGCTCTGAAGGGTCGTGTGCATAGGTTCTAGAAAATGTGCTTTTGCATCCTCTCAAAAGGCGGTTGATGGGTACTGAAGACTTGATGGAAGAGATGTTTAAGGAACTGGCTACCATCAGCCACACTTTGCGCCTTGTAACGAACACCCTACAAAATCACAGAATCCTCTGAGTACACAGAGGGCGGCCCAACTTCGAAACACAATTCCACCACATTCCACCCTTCGCCTAGCAGCCAATTGCAGGTGTTGGAGTTATCTTTGTCCATCAATCGCCAGCCACGCAAGGGGTGTCCGTACTTCTCCTGAGCAGGCATGCTACCTGTGGAAAAGAGGGCTTCTCGCTGCATCTCGTTTCTGTGTTTTGTTCAACCGAGGGTAGCTCCACTATGTTCCACTAGTGATTTAGAAAACAGGTGTCGAACTGACCAAATGAGTGGACCGGATGATTGAAGAAAAACCAACGCCTTCTTACATTTTATGTCAAAAGCGTTGAAAGGTCTCATGTGAGGCCATGTTGTTCGATGTCCTTTCAACTAACTATTTCGAAAGATCATGACCCACCATGTTCATTGGCAACGCAATTCTGGCGACATTCGCCTGTCCATGTCTGTTTATATATATATATAGTCTTACATGCTTTACTAACTCTACTTCGAAACCATTGTATATAAAAATGTCTAAAACACCGTGTTTGGATTCATCCAAATGTCGTCCCCTGCGGAAGCTGTAAGACCGCTCCGACTTGACCACTCAGCCCGAGAACTCGCTCCCGACCACCCTACGCCTTCAGCAGCCGCCGGAACTCATCGGCGGAAGCCTCGGGAGGGCCCCACTGAGTGGCCGAGATGCCCCACAAACCTCCAGACCTAATCAGATTTGCCATCTTCGTTTGTCTATTTAGCTGTATGATGCTGCACACGTTCTCCCAGTAAAACGAACTGGTCACTCGTTTAACGGATGCATGCCAAGTCACCGGGTTAGAAATGGCCGTCAGGTAGGCTGGAGGCTTCCATATATCCAGGAAGAGCAAATCGTCCAAAGAGACCGCCTCACTCTCAGCTTCAGAATGGCAATGCCATCTAAGGTTGTCTGGGACAAGTCTTCCAGACTTGTCAGGGGTATCTTGAAATATGGCACAGCTCCAATTGTGAAGGGTCTTCTTCCACCTAGTGTTTTGTCCGGGAGCACGAACCTAGTTATGGGCTTGGGATACTCATGTCAGTGAGGGCTCGATAGACTTACCGGATCTTACCGGGCCACTCGGTGAGCCCATGCCGCATGGCCCATGGATCAGTCATCTAGTAATCTAGAGTGTGAGACTGTCTCAAAGTGGCACAGCAGCCGTAGTTGTGTGAAACATGTTGTCCCAAGCTGAGCGGGGGGAGGCCAGGAGGGCAAGGAGGGGTGCAAGGCCAAAGAAGGCTTGGGACTTTGATCTGCTAAATCTAGAACGATCAGTTCTCCTGTCATGTTGGTACGCTTGATGGCAGGTCGGTGGAGACTACACGGTTGAGTGATGACAACCGACAGAACAATATTTGCATCAAAAGAATTCCACAAAATTCTTCTCAAAGTGTGCTCCTTACGAATGCCAAGAACCTACAATTGTAAACTGTCGATAATTCACAGTCCTTTCAATTCCAACTGTCTCCTGGGTTGTTGTAATAATCAGTCACACTTTCTGCTCTACAACAAAAAACTTGTTTCTGGCATATCCTGAGAACATATCTAAAGTCTGTTCATGTCCCTTTGAACTCCTTTCATTCGCCTTTCGATTTCTGTCCAATTGTATATATATATATACACATGGGTGTGCATACGGTCTGAGGTGTATTCCTGCGGATAGTTGATTTTTGCGGAGACAGACTATTTGATCGCCCAGAATTTACTGGGGCAAGGGTTTTATTGCGATGTGAACATCAGACTCTAACCTTCGAGGAGAGTTGCTTCAATAAACTTTAGATAGGACACTTTTAGACTGCAAAAGTAGCTTTAACCACTAGCACCAGTAGCAGAGTGTGGTGAACAGTTAAGCGAAAAAATGGCCTTGTAATTTGAGCTTGGAGGATCCTCAAACCACTTGAGAACTGCCTGCTCTTTGGCAACCTTCGATGAGCGCCATGCTCATCACATAGCCGTGGTCCAGCCTTTCAAAGTACAATCCATCTCTCTGGGATGCCCAACGCCCTTCTCTTGCCAGTCCAACCAGTGGCTGATTTCCTCCATTTCCAGCCTCATTGAGCTTCCGTCAACTCGCGGATAATTTAAAGGATTAACGGACCAATCTCTACCAACCACAACCCACCAAGATACCACAATGCCATCCCCAAAGTGTTGCACGACTAACAAACACACAAACAGCATGGAAGGTCTTTTTGAATACACTGGATAGCCAAGACTCCGTTGGAATACTGCGAACAGTACAGGACCAGAGCTTTTCAAGACAAAAACGGCCTGTGACTATGCATCCAAACCGGCTTCCTTTCCGGAAAACGGACAAAGCACCGCCGCAAAGAGCACTTTCCACATCCCCCGCTTGTCTGCTTCCACCTACCAAGCCACTCTGTCAGGGACACCTGCAGTCGCTTGAGCTGTTGAAGGAAGGACTCATGGCCCAAGCGCATCTTCCCTCGTCGGTCCACAGCCTGCGATGCACTCTTGTGAGACAAGCTTCTGAAGGAAGACTTTGTTCGCATAAGAAGTAAAGTTAGTTATGAAGACGTGGAAGCTGCAAACGAAGTCAGCCACGTAGAAAGGTCGATCGAAGTCGAAGGCAAAAGGACGAAACGAATCGTCGCACCCGGGACGCCCCTTTTTGGCAGTTGAGCCCGCCCTCTGCGAGCGGGTGAGGTGTTCAACATGAGACATACAGCGTGTGTCTTCACACGGAGGGAAAAGTCATTGACGCCAAGTGGTTGGAGGCGTCATCAAGCCACTGGTGCATATCATCATGAATGCACCATCCTCCTGGGTAAAATTAGCTAACACGACTCTTCCCTTTAGCAACCAAGCTGCGGACGACATGGCTTGAGGCGAAGGCATACTCAAGGGTCTGGTCATTCCTAGTGTGAAAGACGAACTCACACAGCTCCGGGGTGTTCTCAACAACATCTTGGTTCTCTTGGACTCCGGAGTACTCAGTCACATCATTTTCGGACACGGGGTGCTCATCTTCCATGTGGTTCTCCATGTCCCGAAGGTCTGAGGTCTGTGTGGGCGCTGTCGTCTTTGACGTTGACTCCTTGATGGCCTTGATCCTCTCGGCTTTTGTCTTCTTCTTTGCAGCCGTGTACGTAGGATCCCAGGTGAGCTTCAGTCGGCCATGTCGGAGTCTGGCGGCAAGCAAGGTTCGGGCACTTTCTTTTGTGAGCCCGTCGGCAATTTGCCGTTCTGAACTCATCCAGCGAAGTCCGCCGCCCAAGCATTCCATGCGCTCCTTCATGACTCTGATCTCCAGGCTGACCCTTTTGTCGACTACCGACGAACTGATGCCCTCCCTGTGGTAGCTGTCGTAGAGAGCTTTCGCGTCGGTGACCAAAGTAGGCCTCAACGTGGACTTGGTCTCGATGAGCTCTTGGAGTGAGAGACCTGGTTTGAGGAGATGTTCCCAAAACCTGCAGGTGAAGTCCACGGAGTCGGCGGCTTGACCGCCAGCCTGGGCTTCAGCTCCCAGTGAACTGCGTGCCACCCTTGGCGTTCGAAAGCTACGCCAGTCAAGCACGTGGTACTCGCCTTCTTCAGCTGAGGCGAACAAACTCTTGTTCACGAGCATGGTGACGAAGCCACCCTGTGAGTTTCCATCTGGCCTTGCTGTGAAGCCAGCATCGAAGAAGGTGATGAGCTGCAGTTCATCGGGCTTGCCAATGAAGTTGTAGGTGAGTCCTACGTCCTTGTTGTCTTTGCAGAAGCGGAGGAGACGGTTGCACTCGTGGAGTGTCTGCACTGTGGCCTTGTTGACAAGACCTGAAAGCATCGAGGTGCAAGTGTGGTGAGCTCTGCACGGCTGGCCATTGAACTGACCCCAGGAGTCCTCGAATCTGAGAAATCTCTCGTTCATTCACCGTCTCGCTCATGGGCCGGTTCTTGTTGAAGGAGATCGGACTGATCTTGCCCATGTAGGACTCTTGGTGCAGCTTGCGGCCTCCCTCTGCAGTTGAAGTGATCTCGCAACCACAGTACTCGAGCTTCTGGAGGTCCTGCTTCCATTCCCGGAAGGAGAAGTTTTCCTTGAGGTGACTGATCACTTCTTGATAGCGGGGTGACTTGGAACATCCGCTACCCAACATATCAACAACGTGCATGATGATCATTCCCACCAGCTTCTCCTCACCAAGGCTGCTCACCTCTTGATGCACTGGGTCGTTGACGTCAAAGCTTGGGCTGTCGGTCTCATAGACCAAGAAGCAGCAAGGATCTAGTGGATGTTGACGAAGTCCTGCTCGAAGCAAACGATCCACTGCCTCCAAATACCAGCCCCTCGGTGCATCAATCTGACCGTAGCATGGTTTGAGCAGCAACATCCTTGTGTCCTCATCGGCGCCGAGAAGTTGAAGACTCTCGGAGGGAAGCTTCACCCACAGCTTACGGCTCTGTGGTCTTCCTTGGAGGAATGCCGTGGACACGTCGGCCGTCCAGGTGCACCAGGACATGTTTGCGGCCAGCGACAACAAGAAGCTTCGGCTGAGCCTGGTGGTGGTCGGACTGGAGGTGGCCACTTGCCCTGCTAAGGCGTCGGGATCATTGTAGCCTCTGACGATAAGTCTGGCCTTGGCTCTGGGGCTGCCGTCGGGGTGCTTGGACCACTTGAGGATCATGCGGGCTGTGAGAGTCCTGGACTCGTCGGCGTTGTCCTTGTGCTGGAACTCCCAAACCCCGTGGTCAAAGAAGGATTTGAGTTCCTTCACCTTGGCTTCCTTGAAGAGCGCACGCTCGTCAGGGCCCAAGGTTCTCTCATTTACCCCACTCTTTTCCTTCTTGAACTTCTTTGCCTTGGCCAGTTTCTGGCTTTTGGCTTCCTGTTTGGCGCTTTTGTGAACCTGCCGCTGACTGGTGTACATGGCCAGTTCTTTCCGGGTTGGCCCGGTTAGTTGGAACACTGTGCGCCCGGTCCATGCTCGTTGGTGTCTGGTGGTGGTGTGCCGTCGGCGCCGTCGTCGGTGTGAAGCCTGCTTTTGCCATTCGGCTGGTGAACCATGGTGACCTTTATGCGGTCGAGTGCTTCCAGAGGAACTGGACAGTCCTTTGGCAGTGCTTCGATGTGCATTCGGCCACAGCGTGGAACCAGGTGGTGTCTCACAAGGCATCCTCCTTTGACTTCCCAGTAGTCAGTGACCCGGTCGGTCAGGCTCAAATAGCCTTCTTCATCAACATCCCAGCCTTGAGGTAGCTGGCTGACATCAATGTCGTCGACCGTGAAGCCATGATCTATGGTTGGACTTGCCTCAGTCGCTGTGCTTGGTGGTTGTGCTGGATAAGGTTCCACTGGCGGGCCGCGTCGATTCCGCCAGGGTGCGAAGCTGAGTGTTTCCTGCCGGTTCATACGGAGTCTCTGCTGTTGAAAGGTCCCAGGGCCTGCTGGTTCATAAAGTGATGCTGTCTCTGGGTCCAAAGCTGGTCTGGTAGCAGCCTTTGGAGTAGGCGATGGTGTTGGGCGTGCCGATGGCACTGGAGGCTCTTCACTGGGTTCAGCCAGTGATGCATCACTTGCAACTGGTATGTCAGCGGCCTCTGGGGCAGGGTCATTGCCGGTCTCTGTTGGCTCATAGTCGGAGGTGCCTGGTGCTCCAGGATCCCGGCCTGGGATTGGAACGGCGCCTGGTGCCTCTGGTGCCGTTGGTGTAGTTGGTGCCATTGGTGCCGGTGGCTCAGAGGCTGCCACAGGTGTTCAATCCACAGAGAGCCGTGCTCGGCGTCGTGGAGGTGACATCTCATGGTCCGATTCGGACTCCAGGTGTTCAGCCTCACCATGCTCGTCGTCTTCGACGTCAATCAGGTTCCTACGATTGAGCTTGTGGAGGTCATAGTACCTGGACACCCCTCGAGAGCGAAGCTGGCGGATCTGGTTTAAGGCCTCCTGAGTATCCTCCAGGGAGTGTGCGATGTTCTTGACATCTGGGCGCACATGATGTGGCGCGCAACGGATCAGTTGCGTCTTGAAGGAAAGCCAGTAGACGGACACTTGGCTGTCTGGACGCTCGGGCTCTTTGAACTCCTTCATCACCACATGGGCTGGTCCCAGCCATCTGATCTTGACCAGATCAGTGTGTTTCGCATCCCCTCCAAAACCATACCTTTTGGCCGAGTTGGTACTCCGTGTTGATGCCCTTGTACTTCATGCCCAGTGCTCTGCGAAGGCGGCGGTCCGTGTCAGCATCTAGCAATGGCATGACGTTTGGTCAGTAGCTCTTCGAAGTTGGGGTTTCCGCCGAAGTGCACCGGTTGGAAGGTGTCAGACAGAAGATCACCTCCGAGCTGAGGTTGAAACCCGAGGACCCACTGAGATGGACTGAAGCCTGCCACGGAGGGTGTGGCGTTCATTTGCGGCACGATGTATGTGAGCCCTTCTCGGATACCGGCTGCGTGGTCGATCTTGAGGTCGCTCATGTAGATCTCGACGGCCTTGCGAATCATAGCATGCCGGCGCTCCACGATGGCCAATCGCTCATGTGCCTCTCCAGGGGCCACGATGTGGTCTATGTTGTGAGCTGCTGTCCAAGAGTCCATCGTGTGCCCGAGCCATGGGCGACCGGAGTCGGTGATCAACTTGTTGGGTGCTCCAAAGTGAGAGATCCACATGCGCTCCAGGCTCTTGATGTACTCTTCGGAGGCCTCAGAGCGAAGAAGATATGCAGCAGTGTACCTTGTGGCCGTGTCAACCATGGACATGATGGCATACTTGGTGGAGCCGCATTTGATCCAGAGAACATCTGCCTGTACGGCATCATTGAACTGGTCGGAGGTTGGCATGGATGCCGGTGCTGCCTGCGCCGGCTTCTTGTACTTTGCACATGCCAGACAGGTGTAGCCCTTGGCGGCCTCGATGATGCTCTCTGACGCTCCTCGTGCAGCCAGGAGTTCTGCCAGGGATTCTGCCGAAGGATGTCCAAGGTTTCGGTGAAGCCGTTGGACGATGCGAATTGCCTCTTGCTTGGTGCTTGCCTTGAGGCGAACGAGGGAGGTCATGACATCCTTCTCCTCGATGGCTGCATGAACATGTTCCCAATGAAGTGGGGGTTCATCGATGCTCAGGGCTCCGGCCAATGTCGCGGCCAATCCTGGCTGGTACTCCTCCATGTAGCGTGTTCTCACGCCATAGCCCGGAGCAAAGCCTTCGAGACGACAGTGTTCATGGTCGTGCTGACATTGGAGACATAGTGCTTCTTGGATCGCCCTCTTTGTGGTCAGCAGCCGGGTGTTCTTCAGAACGGGCTTCCAAACATCATCAGTGTCGAGGCACTGTGCTCCATATCGACACTGCGAGAAGTCGGTGATGCGTCCCGGAAGATCTCGAAGTGCTGTTGTCTGCCAGGAGAGTGCATCTTTTGGTTGCTCAATGGTGGCGTGTCTTCCGCCGTAGACCTGCTTCAGGTAGGCCTTCTTCGTGAAGTTGAGGTGCCGATCGTGATGGTGCTGGCGTGCTGCAACCAAAGCTTCTTTCTGGGCTGGTGATCGTCGGCCCAAAGATTGCATCCTCGACCATAGCTTGCGCTCAGGTGCAAGGAGGAGTTCATCGGGCATCTCTTCGTCCATGAGGTCGAGGAACTGCTGTTGATGTGACAGAAGCTCAAAGTTCCAGCCGGTGTCAAGGCTGAACTGTCGGGTTTCCATGCCGAGGGACTGGGCAATGGTGGATGTCCTGCCCTTGCCACAGTAGACTTCCCATAGGATCCGAGGTCGTGGTGGTCGGTGAATCTCCTGAGTGATGAACGCATTTAAGGAGCCGATGTGTGTCGTCAGCTGAGTGTCCATTGTTTTGAGGTCGTGCTTCTTCAGCGAGCCGGAGGATCATAGTTCTTGTCCTCATAGCTTGCGAACCCTTTCTCGGCCTGCATGAAGTCAGGGAGAGTGTAGCCGTCGGTCTGGTGGACATCGGGCTCATTGGTGCGAAGTTCAAAGTCCGGTCGTAGTGCATCAGGTCATGCTCCTGGGTGATCGGCCAGAGATATTCACCTTGACGGCCCAATGTGGCGGACTGCCATGGGCTGCTTCCGATCCTCAGTCGTCGCTGGGCAAAGTCCATTGACATGCCAAGGGCCTCGATGATGGGCCTGCCACATAGCATGGGAGTGTTCCCCGGCAAGAGGAAGATCTCGATGGTGCCAAACTTGCCATCGACGAACACTGGGATGTGTGCGCTCCAGTCTGACCACTGTGATGCATCACCTCCGAACTGGAAGCGACGGCGACCTCTTGTCATCTTGATGGAGTCCGCAGGATAGCCAATGTCGCGGTAGTGGTTGAGGAGTCGCTGGAAGGGGCCATGCCCTGACAAGAATGCACTGGCTCCGGGATCCAACATCACGCAGTCTGGTCGTTCTCGGCCTTGGTCGTCGTGGAAGATGAGGAGAGCGGTCTCATCGGAGTGGGCCATACCTTCAGTTGTTGTTGGAGCCGGTCGCTTCATGCTGGAGCGAGCAGAGGGCGAAGAACTCCCTTGGGGACAATTCGCTGCCCAATGTCCAGGCTGTCCACAACGAAGGCAGGTGAGGTTTGCCTTTGCCCTCCCCTTTGGGTCGAACTTTCCAGCACCTTGTGGAGGGTACCGGATGTTGGTCTTGGACTTTCCGGATTTGCCCCCTTCCCCTTTTCCTTTGGCCCTCCAAGATGAGGTCGAGGCTGTAGGTGATGTAGTCGAGCTTGAGGATTGGTGCTGCTGTCCATCTGTGAGTGCACCGATGGGCAAATAGCCACGAGCCATCTTCAGTTCCTGGATGAACCTCTTTCTTGCATCCGTGTAGGAGGCGAAGGCCTGGTCGTAGGCTTCAGCAAGAGCCTGTGGGTTGTAGGCCTCATCAGCGGTGTTCTCAGGCCATGGTTCGTCGCCGAAGTAGCCTGCATCCTGGTCGAACTCTTCAGGGTCGTCATAGGCCAGGTCGGTGGAGTACTCCTCAGGCCATTGGTCATCGGCTTCGAAGTAGCCGGCATCATCCCAGTACTCATCATCATCATACTCATGGTCTTCGGCCGCATAGGCACGCTGGGATCGCCATGAGGGCTGATGGAATCGCTTGTTGCGCTCCACATTCCAACCACCGCCTTTATAGTCTTGGCCCAGGATGAGGTACATGGCCTCGATCACGGCCTGCTTCTCCAAGCTGGGCGCCTTCAAAGTGATCATCTGGCGCTGCTCTCTGGTGAGTGAAGCTCTTCCCAACAGGTGCCAACCTTGAACGGACTGTGGCAGTTCCACCTTATGCTGCTGAAGCTTCCTGTAGGCCTCTTCGTGCTCGGTGACATAGAGCAGCAGGGTTTGGCCGCCTGGCCGTTGAAGAAGGTTGAAGTATCCCTCGAAGTCGGTGGGGAGTTGTACTCGAGCATCGTATGCGAAGTTGGAGTCCAGAGTCTTGATGATGCGGTCGAATGCACCATCAGCTTCAAGTTCTTCGATGCTCCAGTCCTGGAACAACCGCCAGGTCACACCAGTGAAGGAACCGACGATGTTGAGGACCGCTTCACTCTGTCGTTTGGTGAGGGCCATCTTCCTCTGGTAAAGATGGATCCTCTGCCGCCATTCGCGGTAGTCAGCGGGCTGACCGCTGAACGTAGGGACATAGTTGTCTCTCAGGTCGGTGAAGACTGTCCCTTCCTTTCCGTCGGAGCTGGAGGCCTGCGTCGTCTTCTTCTGAGTTGGAGGCATTGGAACGAAGAGCTCCTGTCTGTCGTGCTTGTTGGCAGGGGTGATGTGATAGCCGTGGATATGGACCAAGCGAAGACAAACGATGGAAAATAGAGCTCCTCGAACCGACCTTGACGTAGGACTTATTCCGAGCCTTCTCGACGTGGTCGCGGAGTGCTAGGCAGGGAGCCCGGAAGGTCCGGGCTCCGCTACCAATATGAAGACGTGGAAGCTGCAAACGAAGTCAGCCACGTAGAAAGGTCGATCGAAATCGAAGGCAAAAGGACGAAACGAATCGTCGCACCCGGGACGCCCCTTTTTGGCAGTTGAGCCCGCCCTCTGCGAGCGGGTGAGGTGTTCAACATGAGACATACAGCGTGTGTCTTCACATTAGTAGTAAAGGCAAAGGCCGTGACTGCATCACGATCTCAAACAATTTTGGGCATCAACCACGAGATGGCTTCCCGCTGCAGCATCTTTGCCAGTGAGAAAAAATGCCCTAGACGTGCAGTCCCCAAGCATCGTTCCGCGCGTTGAGTCTTGGAAGACTTTTTGCACTATACATATGGTACTAAGTCTCAGTAAGTCGCATCCAGTTGCCCCAATAATTCAGACAAGCCCATCTCTGATCTTTCGGTTGGTGCCCGGGCCTTCCACAACGGATGCGCTGGCTTTGGGCCGAACTTTCCCTCGGCCGCCACTGCGCCGTGACCGTTGATGAACAGTTTGGGCATCACTAGAGATCATTGAATGTAGAAACAACATGTGCATTCCGGGTGATTTCCTCTTGAACAGTCATCTCACAAACCACAAATCAAGACCTTCAGGCGTCCTTCTCGAAATCCTTGAGGCTTTCTTTTGCTGAGGAAGAAAAACAAGCTGCGAGGCCCCACCTCGGCCCAGCCGCGGAAGCGCGCCAGCTGCCGGGCTGTCCGCAGGTCCAGCTCCTGAAGGGAGCATGTGCCTGGGCGCAACGTAGACGGTGTCGGTATGGTGAGACACTCAGGACGTGCCACCGATGTGGTCAAACACCTGAGATCACCTGAGCAGCTTCTGGCAGGAGGAACACATGTGCAAAGACTTGTTTTTGAAGAAAGGTGTTCAGCCGTTGGTTGGCACTGCTTCATCAAATGTGATCCATACTTATGGTATTTTGGGGGTCCCCAGGTTGGGACGGCTGTGCATTTGAACCCAAATCTTGACCGTGTGACCTCAGATGCCCATCCATCTTCCTTTCTCCGATCCGCGCCTGCGGAATCGGCGTCCATGGCTTGCCACAAGAGGCGCACGTCCCCACGCCAACCCAAGCTGCGGCAGACTTTGTAGAGTTCTGCCCTCTGCAAGTTCATGGTGCCTAGTTCAGCGGATGAGGCCCGTGGTGCAGTGGAAACTGAGAAATTGGCTTCAAAGCCACTGAGAACTGTGGAGTACCCCCACCACCGCGACTAGATCATTTCTCCTGAAAAAACGCAGCATTGTGGCATGCTTTGGACACTGTCGTATACGTTCAAATCAAGTTGAAGTACTAAGTACTAATATTGTATATATGTAACTATATATGTATATAACAAAGTGGGTCCGAGATTCAGGAGCTTGCTTGATGAGTCTTCGTCTTCAGCTACGAAAGGGAAGATCCCTGTGAGCCCCAGGGTAATTGGATTGGTCCAGTTGTGTCGCTGTGTGTATGTAGACATAAGACATATTATATAGTTATCAGTCAAAGGATGCCCTTGCTGCGAAGCACATGGAATGTGTTGGAATTCGGTTTGTGGGCTGAAGTATGTCATTTGATCAGTATCAACCCAACCCACGTTTGGTACCTCTGTGTTCTTGGGCACCCTTAAACCTGGACTTGGCAAAGCCCGATTCGGATCCACCTTCCTTTACCATCAGATTCCAATGGATCACAAACATCTTCCAGAAAGGTTGATGTTCGGCACAAGGATGCACAGCTGCCCGCTGAGAGACCGCAGAAACCTTGCTACTTGGAATGTTGGGTCCGAAGTTCCAAATGGCAACATCTGATATGATATTCAAGAACCAGCAGAGTCCAGCGCCCAGTCCCTCTCTACGCTGGCGATATCCCTCCCTGCTGCCAGGTGTCCATCCACGTCCAGCGCCCTCCGCCAGGCAAAGTAGGGTTCGCCAAAGTGGCGGATGAGGTATTCCTTCCACACAAGGTATAACCAAAAATGCTGTGATGGTCATTATCAAAGTGGGCAGCCACGGAATGTAGTCATTGATGGCTTCAAAAAAAATATTCTGTAAAACTAGGCCGTTAGGGAGGTCTGCAGCTTTTGCAATGAACCGACAGCATTCCGGGTAGAGAAACTCTGGAAACGTGTCATGAAGCACTTAGCTGCTTAGCTGATTCATGTGTTCACTTGTCGCTTCCGACCACACTAATTTCAGACGGATGCAATTGTTGCGAAAAAAAAAAAAAAAAAAAAAAAAAAAACTGTCAAAGGAAACTCAAATTGCTGGTTGGATTTCAGAGTGGCGTGCAAAAGTGTATGCGTGTATCCGCTGCGGAAAACGCAAGTGTACAGTGTAAGTTCAGGATGACATATATGAGAATGCTCGCTGGAATGGAGGGATCTTCGGGAACCTCGTGGTTAAGCGCAGAAACTTGAGCATGGTGAGCGGTCAAAGCTGAGGAATATTTGGCCCCTCAGAAAGGATCCGAATTTGGATCCCATAAACTATCCCATGAATTCCACGGAGGCCTTTCCTCCACAACCCAAGCAAGTTCATCTCCACCAAGACAGGTCTTCTCCTCTATTGGATGTGTTGCTTTCATTGCTTTCCGTTCCGAAAATGCAAAATGCTCGGTGGTTTTGTCAGTTTCTGTGATCCCCACTTCTCCTTTTGCCGCCCACTGTCCTTGAAGTCGACCAAGGTCTTTTGTCGATTTCGCCTGGAGGTCGTGTGGAGTGTCCACTCCGCATGTGAAACGCCCAAGCACTTCAAAAACATCTGAAACACGCGTCATGTCAAATGGTGACTTTCACTTCAGTAGTTAAAGCCCCTGGTTTTTACAATGTTGGGCACCGACCGGAACATTCATATTAAACTAGAGGGGTACCATGGGGCACCCAGACCCCCAAAAGTTCCAACGATTTGCCGTCTTTCAATTGTCTGCCAGACTTCTGGGAGCAAAGGCACGGGACAAGTGAGAGGTGTTGCTGTACTGAACAAAAGACCGGGATTTCCTACCCAGCCAATCCGAGAAGGGAAAGCTCAGCTGATTGGAATCTGGCATTTATGAAAGGGACCGAGTACACTTCACAATGCACTCTATTGGCAGAGTGTTGAAAACAAATTGTGCTACGGACGACGGACCCGTTAACTTCTCACAATGAAACCCATCAACTTGTGCTCTATGGATTAAACTTGCAAAAACAAATCAGAGTCCAACCCAATCATTGTACGCTAGAGATGTGCCTCGCTAAGAGATTTTGATCTGGCTGCTAGGCCTGGATACTGGATCTGTCAGTGGGCAACCGGAAACCTGCTGTTAAAGGAAGGAGTCCTGCACCCTGAAAGAATGAGCCACTGCCTACAGCTTCTTGGGGAGGTCAGGTGATGGGGAGCTCCCATCCACCCCAAACAATGTGGCCGAGGCTCCCAAAATATATTGACTTGTCATATCAATGGCCAATGGCGGCCTTTGCCAAGGGCTATTCATCATTCGCTATAAACCTTGTCATGCCGTGGTCACGGCTGAGACAACATTTCTCCCGCCACGCTGACTACCGGGTCTGGGTTTGCAAAAAGAACGGGCTCTGCACATCGAATTTTGTCAGCTCAAAGGCCAGGAGACACCTGGTTCGGGCCTTCGCGGTCCGGTCAAGAGGATTGTGTTACCTGTTGCCACTTAAACTGTACCCACAAGTTTCGAAGTAGTAGCGTCCTTCCTCCTAGTAGTAAGGCCAGGAGCCCCTAATGGCGTCGTCCTTGCTCCTAGTAGTGAGGCCAGGAGCCCCTCATAGCGTCCTTGCTCCTAGTAGTAAGGCCAGGAGCCCCTAATAGCGTCCTTGCTCCTAGTAGTGAGGCCAGGAGCCCCTAATAGCGTCCTTGCTCCTAGTAGTAAGG